TAAACCATTTTAAAATTGTGCACATTTTTTAAACACCAGAATGTTTTGGTGAAATCCTCACAATATTTAGCGTTAAATTTTTTGTCTGGATTTACAAATTGTATGTTTCGTTCAATTTCACAAATCAATCAACGGAATATAAAAACTTAAATAAGATATGCAAAAAAAAAAAAAACAATATTGCATTTTTATTAAATAAGTATTTGTTATTTTAATCATTAAATTGTTAGGGAGTATTTATATGTCAAATAATTAAACTTTTATTTTTTCTCAGACAATTAATGAAAATTTTTTGTACAAAGCTATGCGCCCGAGAAAAGCAAACTGTATTTAGTATCCAAGATACCTGTCCTAAATTTTGCTTTCCATGTATGCCAATTTCAGAGAATGTGAAGAAAAGACGGACTAACCAAAGTCAGATAATTTTATATGTAGATTGAAGTGACTGCCTAGCACACTGGGGAAAAGAAAAGGAAGTTAACGGGCGCATCGCCAGGTAATCATTCATATATATATATATATATATATATATATATATATATATATATATATATATATATCCAGGTAAAAATGACAGTCACCATGCAGTGTTGATTTCCATATCCCGCCTATATTTTCCCCATAAGTCTTTTCTCTGTCCCATATTTATCTATCTATTCTATCTATCTATCTATCTATCTATCTATCTATCTATCTATCTCTCTCTCTCTCTATATATATATATATATATATATATATTATAAATTAATTGATTTAAAATATGTTTTTTTCGCTACACAGATCTAACCATGTTTCAAAAAAATGGAAGCTGAAAGTCTGAATTTAATTTTGTAATATTAATTTAATATTAATGCTCTGTAAGTTTACATTGAACACTATTTTGTAAAAATAAAAAAATCTTTAAGAACACCGGATTATATATCTTACTGTTCTTTTTTTATATATATATATATATATATATATCTTGAGAGAGAATATATATATATATATATATATATATATAGATAGATAGATAGATAGATAGATAGATAGTCAATAGACTGCAATAGATAGATAGATAGATAGTCAATAGACTGCAATAGATAGATAGATAGATAGATAGATAGATAGATAGATAGATAGATAGATAGATAGTAACTGCGAGGTTAGACCTTATATATAAATGGTAATTTTAGGGTTAGCCACATATCCAGGTGATAAACTGACAGTAACCATGCTCTTTTGATTTATATATCGATTCTGCCGTCAGTCTTTCTCTCGTTCCATATATATATATATATATATATATATATATATATATATATATATAGATATATATAGATAGATATATGTAGTAACCATGAGGTTAGAACTTATAGATAAATGGTAATTTTGAGGTTAGCCATATATATATATATATATATATATATATATATATATATATATATATATATATATATATATATATATATAGACATGTATGAGAAATATATAATTTTAAGGTGTGATATATTTATGGGTAAAAGTGATCAGTATCATGGACAGAGTGTGTGTAAATAAAATGAATAGACTAAAGTCTAAGCCGAGCGGTCAGTGTCTGTTACAGGCTTTAATGTACAGGTCATCTTTTCAGATTATATATATATATATATATATATATATATATACAGTTCACAAGTTTGTTGGGAGCTCTGGTAATATTTTAATTTGGCCCCAAAATTAGTTGTTTTGTACTTTAAATAAGAGAAAATTATTATACATAGTTAAAACAAAAGTGAGACGTATTTTTTTAAAGGAAATTTCATGACAAAAACGGAAAAAAACATTTTATGATTAAAATTTGCTCCCGTCAAAATATCCTCCTTTAGCCTTGATTACTGCAGCACAAATTTTTGGCATTCGTTGCAAAAGTTTCTCAATGTATAAGTTTGATAATTGATTCCATCTTTTTTCAATGCTTCTAAGAGCAATTTCTCATTTTTTTTTTTTTTTCATTTTTCTATCAAGTTCATTCCATGCTAATTCGTGGGGTGGGGGGTTCAAACCTTCGAACTGTACTGTATATATTATTTCGCTTTACTTTGAAAACACACACACACACACATACATACATACATACATACATATATATATATATATAGATAGATAGATAGATAGATAGATAGATAGATAGTTAGTTAAATGGATGTAAGTTTATCTCAGGTCTAAAGATTTAAGTATGTTAGCTCTATCACTGATATTGAAAGCTTTCCAATAACCACCGAACATATATAAAATATATATAAAATTTATACACACACACACACAACAAATATATATATATATATATATATCCATATTATTTATTTGAAACAAACACACAGGGTCACACACGCTCACAGACTCACATATATATACATTATATATATATATATATATATATATATATATATATATATATATAACAAATTATTAAAGAGATTTTTCCATGTCTGTATAATCGAATCGTATAATCGATACAGGTAATCGATATTATGTAAAAGTTTCCCTTTAATTTTCTCCGGATATATTTTTTTAACGATTTCATAATCGAAATTCTTTTTAATATGCAACTACACAGCTATATTGTACAAATAAAAAAAAAAATACAGAATTACTCATGCATAAAATATAATCAATGTATTTACAAAATTATACATGGTCGTCTTTTTAAATAGCGATTATATAACATAGTAATATTTAAATGTTTCCTTTTAGGTTTTTTTGGGGGGTATTTTTACTTTTACTGAGTTAAAAATTTGAATCCTTTCAACAAAAATTCTACACAATACTTGCAGAAATATAATCAATACAATTGCATAATTTCTAAAATATACCGGCATGTTTTACAGTACACAAAAATTAGTATATATATTCTTATCTTTGTCTAACCACATTGACCACGGGTTCATTTACATTTTATATTAAATTAAGTAAATATTTATTCGCTTACCTGTCTATGCACACAAACGCACGTATATAAGGTTGCTAATAGCTAATGATTTGGTTTATATCCATTTATATACCTATATATATATATATATATATATATATATATATATATATATATATATATATATATATATATATATACATATATATATGAAGAAATATAGTCTTAAGATGTGCTGTATTTATAGAATAGAGTGCTCAATACCAGAGATATAGCGTTTGTA